TCCTTTTGACCCTTTTTTTTTCTTTCTTCTTTTCTTGATTATACTAATCCATACAGGTTACAGCTACAAGAGTACTACAAGCAAGATACAGCAGACTACAACATGATCATAAGAAATAATGACCGGAAAAAAGTTCACTCAGCTACCTATCAAGTTTGTGTACAGGTATAATCCCAACCCGGTAGACAGATATTGAGTACCTCTCTCTCACCCGACCATTCAAAACTTTTCAGATTTTTTTTTGTTACCAAACAGGCGAACCCATCTAGTAGAAGAAGCCGAGGAGCTTGCCGGCAACGTGCTTGCGGCGAGCCTCCTCGTGGTCCATGATACCAGCGGAGGTGGTCAGGACGACGAAGCCGAACTGACGCGAGGGGAGCAGCTGGACGGCCCAGGTCTCGAGGTCACGGAGCTGCACGGGGTAGCGGGGGTTGATGACACCGCACTTGTTGAGACGGCCGTTGAGCTGGATGACGATCTTGCCGGAGCGGTGGTCGTCAACCTCCTCGAACTCGCCGATGTAGCCTGAACTTGATGTTAGTATTTGCCAATACAACACGAAGCATGATAATTAGGTTGAAGAATGTAGCAGGAATATAAAGGTCGCCGAGCACAGAGAATAGAGTCCCGGAAACTTGTAAGATTCCCGCCATGTGTTTGATATCTCGGGCACTTAAAGGGCAGACGTTCGTGTGAAAATTGAAAGCGTCGCCTAGTTATCAACCCGAATTTTTGATTTTCTTTTACAGGACTCTTATCTCTTGCCGACAACCAGTACTTCTCCGCATTCCCTCTGATACCCACGTCGAACACAAAAAAAAAAAGTAAGAACATACCGTGCTTCTGCATGACCGAGAGGAACTTCACAATGACCTTGGAGCTGGGGCGGACCAGAACCTGGCGCTTACCAGCCTTCTCGGCATTGTTGATAGCGTTAAGCGTATCGTTGAGGACGGAAGTGCGGACCATTGTGGCGGGTGAAAGGAATCGAGATTCTCAAATCGAAAATACGAAGGGGAAATGAGGTATCTAGAAAAGGGAAAAGTCCTGATGAACTCCCCCTCCCTCTACCAACCGGGGGAAAAGAAAAACCTTTTACCAGAATTCTTGCCCCCCAATCGATAAAGGAGAGAGACATCGGGACCACACAAGTCAGCCACCAGTAGTCTTCGAGCGCAAAGAGTGCCCCTTCAGTGGAAGAGAGAGGAAAAGAGAGAAGAAAATATTTCAGTTCTACTCTCTCTTTCCTCCTCGCCAGGGTTCTTCAGCCCGTGCCGTGATGAGAGATGCGTATCACCGGGTGGCTTCCCCCTGGCTCTAGTCCGTCATTGAGCGTTTCTGCTGCCGGAGAGCCAAAAGGCAACCCGGTGATTGCTCTCCCAGACTAGCTGTGAGGCTGGTAGAAAGGGACTTTCGACATGTAACACATACCTCGAGGTGGGTTGGGCGGGAGTGTTGACGCTGGGTGATGATCGGAGTCGGAGCAGAAGTTGAAGGGTTTTCTCGGGTGTGCGTGTCTAGGGCTCCACTCTTGGCATGCCCTAAGCGGGTCACGTGATTACCATTGATGCATGCCTGAGGCACACAGCGTTGCCCTATTGACTCGTACTCCCACTACACTCAAGGTTACCATGAATATGCAAGCTTTTCTCATTCTCTCTATACAGGGTCTTTTGGATCACACTGGATTATACGTGGAAACAGGGTCAAAAATTCGTGGCAAATATCTTGGCAGGGGTTACATCACTTTCGGGCATACATGAATCGCTATAGGGGTCTTGGTCTAATGGGGAAGAAAAGGAAAAAGCAGAGGTGTTGTGAAATAATGGGGGAAATCAAGTGACAGGGAGAAGGGTAGAAAATGCATGGATAATGAAGAAAAGAAAAGGAAAAGGAAAAGGGTCATAACAGGGGCGAGGGTCAAAGATCCGAAAGGGGATTGGCGGGTGGGGGAGAAAATCGGTTGGAGGGGGGTTGATGAAGGGGATGATTGTGTTGATGCAGTGATCATTAAACACCAGGGCTGCTGCCAGTGAGCTGACAGACCGTTGGGCCGGTGAATTTCTGCCAATCGTCTGATGCTGCACAGCATCATCCCATGGGCGATGAGCGCGCTCCATGGGTGGAGTCATCCAGGACGCAGATCCGTGACTGTATCCAGCGAGAAGTCGTTCCGAGACGGGTGCTCCCGAGAGGACGGGTTGAGGATGGAACCACGGTCCCAATTTACGCCATGGACTGGGCGGTCGCCAAGCTGATCTGTCGCTTGACCTGCTCGCGGGCCCAGCGGGCGGTATCGATCGTGCGAGATCCAAACTCCCGGCTCGACCTGGTCTCCCGGACCAGCGAAGTCACCCAGTCGTTGCGGAAGAAGTTAGCGAATTCACCGTTGGGGAATGACTCCGCCAGGTCACCAATGACACCCATGGAAGCCCGCATCAAGCCTTCGCTGCGGGTGGGATCCTGGGAGATCAGGTGCAGGAGCTGGAAGATGGACTCGATGAAAGGCTGGAGTTGACCAACTGCAACTGGTTAGCACTGGCTAGGGACACCTAAACTTGGAACTCGTACCTTGAGGCGTGCCCTTGTAAGACAGAATAATTCCACCCCAGGCATCCATGATACCCTCACGGAGCGAGATGATGTAGTCGAGCATCTCCATGGTGACATCGGCACTGACGGTAACCACCGAGGCTTGCTGGAGGACCTGGCCCACCACCGCCAGGTAGGTGTCGAACTGGGTGCCGATGGCCTGGCAGATATCACCGAAGCACTCGAGGATGGCTGGCTTCAGCTGGTTGGATGCGCTCTGTAGAGCAAGTTAGCGTGACGTTCTTCCGGGCAGATTCGTGCGCGGGACTTACGCTCAAGTCGGTGAGCAGGTAGTTCATGAAGGTGTCGCAGTACGGCTGGACCTTCTCGTTCAACGCACGAGAAATATCGCTGACCAAGCCAATGGCCATGGAGCAGAGACCTGGCTCCTCGAGGTTGCCCAGAGCGTTGTAGAGGAAGGGGGTAAAAGGGTCCATGTATTTGACGAAATCGTCTTCCAGAGCGCCCGCGATGGCACCCACGGTGGCAAAGACAACATCCGGCACGCTGGACTTGGGGGGAACCGTCGTGAGGATCTGGAGCATGACGTGCATGATACGGTCGGCCTGCGGCTTGACGTCGGTCTCCAGGCGTTGAACAATGGCCTGCAGGATTAGCGAGCGAACTTTGCTACAGGGGAAAGGAATCTTACGAGAACAACGCTGGTCAGGCTGGTCTGCATCTCCTCCAGGGTAATGCGGTCCTCCACGCTCACAACCTGCTGTTGCATGGGGATGGTGTGCTCGAGACGCTGCAGAGCGACGTCCGAGAGAGTGGCAACCATGGGAAGGCTATCGTTGGCGGCGTTGGTGACGAACGAGTTGAGGACTTCATATCCGGCCGTGCGCAGCTGGTTGTCCGCATCTTGTCTGTAGGGAAAGAAAAGAAAGGGTTAGATGATCCGATCAAATAGATGGGGTAGAATGAGTCTCACCTCTCGGTCAGGGCGAGGAGCGACTTGACGCTGTCCTGGAAGTGCTTCGAAAGGGGGTTGGTCTGAGCACCGACGTCACCGGCGAAACGGTCGGCCACGTTCATCAACGCCCAACAGCAGGAGCTGGCGATCTTGGGGGTGCTGGCCAGGCCATTGAACAGGCAGGAGATGAGGGGCTGGAGGTGCACCTCAGGGTCGAGGGTCTCCGAGCAGAAGTCGCACACACGGCCGAGAGCGTAGGCAGCCGAGTCGCGAACCTGGATGGAGCTATCCTCCATCATGCCGATGAGCACACCGAGGGCCTGCTTGATGAGGGGCTCCAGGACCTTGGGGTCGGGGCCATCCATGATGGCGCCGAAAGCGGCGACGGCGGCATCACGGTGGCGCCAGTCCTCGTTGCGGATGTTCTCCTCCACGAACGTCAGGACAGGCTGGATGGCATCACCCTGCACACACTGGGCGTAGAGTTGCAGAGCCTGGTAGGCAGCGCGGGAGACATTGTACTCGTCGTCCGTGGCGTCCTCATCCTGGCGACACATGGTCTGCAGCAGGACGGGAACGACCTCTCGGCAGGCGATCCGAGCAAAGCCGTAGAACGGGCGAACCTCGGGGGCACCGTCAGCTTGGGCCTGTTACATGATCAGTAAGAAAGAAGTTCCCGCAAAGTGATTAGGATGTATGAACGGGAAGGGAAAACTAACCTGGGCATTGTCGTCTTCGATGGCAATTTCCTCTTCGCACACGGTGCACCAGAACTCGATCGCCAGCTTGGCAACATCTTCCTCCTCGCTCCGCATGCCCATCACGCTCAAGCCAAACAGAGCCTTCTCCATGTAGAAGCGCATCTTGTCGTAGTAGGCGCCCATGATGCGGTTCAGACAGCCGAACGCGCCGGACTGCACGCGGAGATCCTCGGCCTGGGTGGCCTCGCAGACGACCTGCATGATGTAGTTCCGCTCGCCCTCGTTCTCCATGTTGGACCGGACAAAGTCGACGGAGTCACTGAGGGCCTTGATGGCGGCGTTACGGATGTCCATGTTCTGCTCCTCGCGGCGCGCGCCCTGGACGACGGCGGTCAGAATGGCGTTGGAGTGGGCGCCCAGGCTTTCGCGCAGCTCGGCATCCTGAGACTCGCAGATGAAGCCGATGGTGATCAACGAGGACTGCTTCAGCTGGTCGGAGCCGCTGGCGACGTTCTGGACGAGAATATTCATCAGTTCGGGCCACTCGTTCCGCGGCAGCTCGATGGCGGCGACGGAAACGATGAACTGAGCAGCCGATTGGCTGGCCTGGCCATGCTTGGAGCTCAAAGTCTTGAGCGCAAGTTCCTTGACCTGGGACTTGATTTCGGGGGTAATTTGCTGGAGCCATTTTGCTTGCACTTCACGCAGTTTCGCGGCATCTCTGAAGGTGAAGGCGTTCTTCAGGGCGATACCGGCGGCAGCCCGGATGGGGGGTGCAGTATCTTCGTTAGCCAGTTCCTGGCCGAGAGTGACGAGGTAGCCGGCCTAGAGAGAGGATCGTTAGTGAAAAAAAAAAGAGGACTATAGATGAAGAATGAAGATAAAAGATCCAAGGGGAAAGACCCAAGAAAAAAAAGAGAGAAAAAACGGAGGGGGTAGAAAGTGGGGGGTAACGTACGAAGTCAACTTCCGCCGCATGAGCGAGCTGCTGTTCGGCATTCGAGCGCGCCGTCGCATCTAAGAAGCAGAAGAAAAACCGTCAGCGAGGATATTCGGATCAAGATATAACCAGCAATAAGACCAGAGGATCTGACATACCAGGCGACAGGGTACTCTCCAACACCTGCGTGACATTCATGTTGCCTTATGCGGGAAGAAAAAATAACAGGCCAGTAGGAAAAAAGGAAAAGGAAAAAAAAAGAAGATCAGGAAAGGAAAAGAAAAAGAAAAGAAAAAAAGTTCGAATAGGGGGTCAGTCCAGTGAGAAAGAGAATTAACTCAAGAGACTAGAGAGAAAGGTGGTTGAAAGAGACGTCCAACACAAAGGAATGAGAGTGCGGACCAAAGCGGGCTGGATGGATGAGATGGAGGAGGTGAAGGTTAGGTTAGGTTGTTTTTGTGGATGCGGATATATGACGAGGCATGCACCAGGTCTAGTT